AGATTTATCTTAAAAAATGGTCAATGATAGACCAAAATTTCTTCTTAATAAGCCAAAAAATACCCATATAATTCTTGGGAAGCCAGAACTATGACATACCATAAGACTAAACCGTGAATACTAAGGGTCTTGATGGCTTAGATAAATCTATTCAATCTATTGCCAATGCTTCAAAAATCATTATATATATATATATATATATAATATTTTCGTTTTGGTTTTGTTAAAATTCAAGCTTCACATAAGAGGCTCCCATAGAATGGAAGTCTTTGTAACACTCTAAATTAAGCTTTACAAGGTTCCTAATGGAGTTCAAATTCACCATATATCCTTGAAAACACCATTATTTGTAGCTACAGTACATCTTGATGAAGCATCTAAGGTAAACGTAGTTTTTAGATATTTCCAGACATATAAGCTTATATTCAAGTACTTGACCACAAGTATGTTTTCTAGTATGTTCTTTACTCCTAAACCCTAGACCACAAGTATTTTCAAGTATGGGACCTAAACTCGACCACAAGTACCGTATTGGCTTTGGATGAATACCGTTTTATCTTGGTCGTCATACACCTGGTAGTAAACTGTGTACTGAGACATTATTTTTCCAGCAGGTGCTCAATGAACGGAAACATTCTTAGGGTCTAATCAGAGTTTTGAAGGCCAAGATTAATGATTTATTTTTTGAGTTATTGATGAGAGTTGTGATCTTATCATATCTAACTAGAGCTTTCCTCATTATTATTCATAAACATAAGAAGTGGTCATCGGAACCATGTTAAAACGTTTTATGTTAGAACCTTACTATTTGATCACACAAATGGATAAATTCAATCCTCCGATAATTAACTTGTGGGAAGCTACGTAAATAGTTCAAGAAACATTCACATCCGCAGTGCAACTAATTTCTGTATTTTTGGCTTTGTCAGAAAGAAGCCTATGCGAGGCCATATGTCGTGCCGAGAAAGAGGGAGAGTAGAATGTACCATTATCTCGTTCCTTTCTCTCTCTTACGTTCTCCCTTTTCTCCCTTCTCCATTTCGTATTTCCTGCAGGAAAGTGAAGATGGAAACAGGGTGGCATATGCATGGATCCTGGAGGTTCAGGCCGCTTCGTCTATTCCCATTTTTTTCGTGGAGATGGATTTCTTGGGTAAACCTCAATGCTCAGCCTCTCAGATCAGAACTTCGCAGTTAACTTTAAATACGATTGTCTCCCGGTCGCAGTGCCAGGAAGTCAGGAAGAGCCCCATAAGTTTCAGAAAAAGGATAGGCTAGGCCTTATTAGGAACAGTGGCCAAGTGCGTCATGTAAGAACGATCGGTCGTCTTCAGGGTTTGTCTCCCGCCTTCGCAGCGGCTGATGGGCAGCAATAACGGCAATAGTTTGCAATCCATCTGCAGCATTGGTTGCAGCAGGTCGTGAAGATAGGTCTAGGAGTGCCGCAGCAACCGTAGCACTTGCGTTGCCGGACGGCGCAGCAACGAATACAGCAGGGTCCTGTTCTGATATCCAGCCCCCCCTCAGCTACCTTGAACTCAGCGATCAGAAAGGCCCCTAAATCTCAGGAAGGTGGGGGTTTTAGGCGGCTTTTACCGAAGAATAACGAGCTATTAACGGAGTAATCGATCAAAGCAGGCTGAGCACGTCGATAAGAATACCCACAAGAGCAGCGAGACGTCTGGTAGCCATCTCTCTGCTTGTGTCTCTCTCTTTTCCTCTCTCTTCAGGTACCCTGCAGGTTCCCTGGTGGTAAGAACGGTGCTTCCTCATTCCAAGGTGGCCCTAATATAGAAAGCACAAAGAGAAGTAACTAGTCCTGGGTGACGGCTGATTTTCTGACCACTTTAGTAGTCGTTGATTCTTGAAGCGACTGAACTCGAAGATAGCGTTTCCAGATTCCATTCACAATGCATAGAGACTTTCAGTTGCAATGTCATGGGTCCACCTGTTTATTGATTATCAAAGTATCTTTTGACTCTGTAGCTGTTAATTAAGGACGGTTAGACGTAGGTTTAGTTTTTATTGGAGGTTGTTAATTAACGAGTGCTAAAGATGTAGCTTCATTATTTATTATATTAGTGTTAGAAGTAGCGTTCTTTTTATTTATTGTTTGATTTCTTCTCCTAGCTAGAAACTTGATGAATTTTCAACTGAACAATGTTATCTCTTCATTTTTGCCTTTACTAGTTATCTCTTTTTCATCAACGGTTTTCAATTTCCTAGGTGTTTTACATGTTCTAAGAAGTTTTCCCCATTTCTATCTCATAAGTTAGTAATGATCCCATCAATTTGTTTTCTACCTCACTCCCTCTATGGCATTCCCCTTTGGCTTCTAATTTGGATAAGAGATCTAAAGACATTCCAATTCATCAGAAAACATGGTAAGCTTTTCAAAGTGCTATTAATCAATTAGCAATATTCATAAACCTTCTAAACATTGGCGCAGTATTCTCATTTTCATTCATCAGAAATAATATGTATCTATACATTCATAGTTTGTGTACTTAGGGATATGAGCTTTTTTCTTGTTCTCTTGAGTCCCTAGTTGGTTAGGTATATGAATAAAGGGGGGGGGGGGGAGCTTGGATTTGTTCTTAACTTTCTTAATTGGTTTCCTTAACTTTGAACAATTTTTATAATTTGGGTCTCTCAAATCAAATGGCATGAACAAATGCACCAAGATTTGTAGTGGATAGGCCACCCTTGGCATGCAACACTTTCACTATCTTGGTTCTGCTATCCTTTTCTCGCAATATGACTGACTTTATGGGATCAACAACCACTTTACATGATATGTGTAATAGGTCTATCACCTGTCACTAGACTATAAGTCATGTTACAAGCACTCTTAGAAAACTTTCTTTGCGAAATCATAAAATCAACAGATTTACAAATATAACAAGATGATCTCATGACATTTTTTTTGAAGGATGGAAAAGCTTTTGGTTGTATAACACATTGGCGATAAGAGTTTTCCCAAGCCTGAACTGCTTCAGATGTTTTTTGTTGTTATAGATAGTTAAGTATGCTGAATCTTTACTATAGCATATTGATTGATGACGCTGAAAAGTATGAAAGTTGCGTGAAGTTTATTTTTATTTTTCCTTTCATCCTCTATTACTTTAGTCTTAGCTAAATTATTTGGTCTTATACTCATTGTAATGGATTGCTTCAACTTATATACTCATTGTGTAGGTCCAAAATTAGATCCAATAGACAAAATGAATATACATCAGTTAAAGTAATGATTTCCAATTTAAATAAAATCCAAATCAATGCAAATGAAGCATAGGCATGAAAGATCATCACTGCATGTAATTTCTTCAAATTGAACATGTACAATTTCATGTATTTAAGAATAATGTAGTTCAAAAGTGAAGAATAATTTCCAATACAAATTCAATATATCTCTTCATTCTCAAATTTTCAACATGTGATGTTATGTTCATCCCTTCATCTCATCAGTTTAAAATTCATATATCACTATTATTTATACTCAAAAGCATTACTTCTAATATATGGGTTATAGATTGTAATTTTGTTAGTAGTGCTTTCACTGAATAAAAAATGACTAAGAAAGAATTCTTAAACATTTTTAGTAATATAAAATCATGATCATTAAATAATATCTTCCGATCTTCATCTAGACACTTTAACTATGATAAATATGTTTTCTAAGAGTCGATTGCCATTAATTTACATATGAATGTCTAAAAGATACTCATGTTATAACTCATTAAATATATCTACGATTTCATCATTTGATTGTGCATATATAGAAGTCATCATAAGAGTATTTTTTGACAAACAAGGCTGTTGAGTCCCTTTTTTTATAAGGAGCATATCATGCAGCTTTGATATCTAGTGTATTGGGTCACCCAATGGTCATTTGTAATGGTCTAATATGTGTCACATCTTGCACGCGAAATTTAAACTTAATGAGTATAAATATTTATACATATTTTAAAACATATAATTAAACAAAGCCTTCAAGTTTCAATGGGTGGTTTGTCCCTTTGGGTTCCTCTTTTAGTAAACTTTCAACTAAATATTCTGATCGTATAATTTTGGAAGTTTTTCATGTAAAATAATTTCATTCAAATTCAGACATAGACCTTGAGTGAATTATCTCAATTATTAAGAATTATTAGAGCCTTCTCCCTTTGAGCAAATTGCACTTAGAATTAAAACCTTCCTCAATAGAGAATAATCTAAGATCATTAGATATAAAATTCTATATATTATCGTCATCAAAAGAAATGAGGCTTTTATAGCTTTAACCTATTTGCTCTTTCTAGGACCCATAAGTTGGGTGCAGATTTCCTACAGAGATAGAGAGAGAGAAAGGGTAAACAGCATCTGGCGCCTTAGGAGTCGTCTTCCGGTGACAGCAGGGCCTGTCTGCCTTTTCGCATCGGGACGGGGAACTTTTCCAAAGTCTGATCCGACGCCGACCGCTGTCCGTCCGTTCAGCTCCGTTGTCAAAATTTACTTTATACATCCCTATAGAATTATGGAAGTGTAAAAATGCCATACTTTTTGATTATTTGTTCCAGGAGGCCTTCTGTGATCGTAGTTTTCTTACAAAGAACTTCGAAGGGGGGTATGTTCTTAAATCTGTGAGAAATGTCGGTATTTTATAATTTAAATCTTCTCTCCCCGCGCCAAAGATCGTCGTCATCAGCTATTCCCCTCTCATCGAGCCTCTCTCTCATAGTTTTCCGCAATACCTCGACCCACTCTTCTCTGTGAGTCCAGCCACACGTTCCGCGCCTCCCCTCTCTCATCTACTACTAGAGCGGGGCCGACAACCTGTCTCTGTCGCTTCCATCATCATCTCTCTCTCTCTCTCTCTCTCTCTCTCTCCCTCTCTGTCTCTATGGATATGCAGTTTTGGTGGGAGAGTACATGCTTTCCGGACGCGAGAAAGGGGGAAGGCGACGTAGCAGGAGAGGGGAGGTTAGGAGGGAGGGTAAGGGTAGAATGTCTTGCTCGTGCATGGGGAATGAGCCCCTGGGGGTCCGACTGGTGTTCGCCGCGATGTTTCTGCTGAATGCCGCCGTGCTGTGTCGCGGAGGTATAACCAGCGACTTTGTCCGCCACCCGGAGAAGGCCGTCGACATGCCGCTCGATGCCGACGTATTCCGCATTCCCCCAGGCTACAATGCTCCCCAGCAGGTATCCTCCTTTCCTTCCGTGCCTCCTGAATTATTCATTCACTCTCTATGTAGCTGTCTTCGTCCTTCTTCCTGTGCTTTAATGACCTGGTGCGTAGCCTGATTTGAACTTCTGCTGTGAAGGTTCATGTCACCCAGGGGGATCATGAAGGTAGAGCGGTCATTCTGTCGTGGGTCACCCCATCCGAGGCGGGCTCCAGCACAGTCTTCTACGGCACGTCGGAGCACGAGCTGGAATTCAAGGCAGAGGGGACCGTCACCAAGTACAATTTTTACACTTACACCTCCGGCTATATCCACCACTGCATCCTCAGTAACCTAAAGGTTATATGTGATCCAAATGTGATCTTTTGATGGTTCAGCTCTAACTTGTCTTGGATTTTTCTTCTGCCCATTAGCTTCAAAGTAAGTAAACCGAGTGTGCCCTGGTTTGCAGTACACCACAAAATACTTCTACAAAGTCGGAATTGGGCTCACAACTCGGGTCTTCTGGTTCAAAACGCCTCCCAAAGTCGACCCAGATGCTCCATACACCTTCGGTCTGATAGGTGATGAGTTATTTCGAGGGACTATCTTTTAGACGATCTCCCTTATTTGATGTAGTTACAGAAGGAACTAGTCATTTAGAAAATGAAGGCTGCTTCCGTGGGTGGAGATTCCTGTTCAAGCAGCTCTTTTCATTGCTCATCATGTTGTTATTCCGTTGTTGTGCCATTCATTTGATTCTATTTCAAAACTTGCTCTTCTCTTTTGTCCAGTCACATAAGTTTGCTTTCCTGTTCTCCAAATTGACAATGAAAGAAATAGCGCCATATTTCAACCCGGAACATGTTTGTTTTTGTAGTTTTTTGATGGAGAACCATTTCAAGTTCTCTCTAATGTATCTATTTTCCAGTTTTTTTCTTTGTATGCTTGAGAAAATTGTAATTATGGTAATACTATTCATTTGATATGAGCATGAACCATAATAAGTTTTATTATAATAATTATAGGAAGAGCTATTATATTATTGTACATATAATGATACAATGCTAATTTAAATACCAGTTTAATGTTTCTATTTTTGATGTTTGGATGTTGAAATGGAGATTCGGGGGGGATCTCACCTTTCTTATGACTATCCCTGAAAATATATGTTGGTCTGTTGGAGGTATGGATAACATGGTTTTATATTGATGTTATCTTCTTATACGATGCAGGAGATCTTGGACAGACATTTGATTCAAATATAACGCTAGCCCATTATGAATCCAACCCCAAAGGACAGACTGTTCTGTATGTTGGCGACCTCTCGTATGCCGATATCTACCCAAATCATGACAATGTAAGATGGGATACGTGGGGCAGGTTTGTTGAGAGGAGCACTGCATACCAACCGTGGATATGGACTACGGGAAATCATGAAATTGATTTTGCCCCTGAGATTGTAATGGCCTCTCTGTACTTTGTTATTTCTATCTTCGCTGATATTGATTGCCATAAACTCTTCTTTGTTGTTAATCTGATTCATGCTGGCAAAAAAACTTTAGTAAATTTCAAGTTAAATATGCAGTTTTGAACTTTCCATTTTTTTTTGTTTTAATTTTATCTTATTTGGAAATCGATTCACTCATCTTGTCTGACGACCCTCCTTTCAATAAATAGTGAATTGTAGAATGTAATTTTGTGGAATGACTGATGAAAACTGTTTCTACATCTCATATGTATCTCTACGACAGGGCGAATATGTCCCTTTCAAGCCATTTGTACATAGATATCACGTGCCTCACAGAGCTTCTGGTAGTGGGTCTCCGTTTTGGTACTCCATCAAGCGGGCATCAGCATACATTATTATTCTGGCATCGTACTCAGCTTTTGGTATGAATCCATTACTTACCACATTACTGATATCTGTATGATGATGTATTCACTATTACGGTCGTCAGGATCAGTTTGCCTCGCTGTCTCCTCTGGTTGACTTTATTACATCTGACCATCAAAGTAGATATCTGATTTGGCAAAAGATATTATTGCCGGAATATTTTCAAAAAATTTGATTCTCCCTGATCTGTACATTTGTTTCCCTGCAATGTTGATTATTTTGTACTACTCTTTTCATATTCTTAGGATATATAGGTTAAGCTTGGGCTTTCCCGTCTTTATTATAGCTGCTTCTTTCCTGAACGAGTATCACGTTTAAAAATTGTTGTGTTTGTCTCTGGGTTGCTGTCACAATTCGTGGCTCGTTTTTCTACAATTCCTTTTTTTTTTGTTATAGAGAAACTATTAGTCTCAAAGGGAGTTTATTATTTCTTATGTTTCATGTAAAAATTTCCGATTAGGTAAATACACTCCACAGAGTGAGTGGCTGGAACAGGAGCTTCCAAAGGTGAATAGAAGTGAAACACCTTGGCTAATTGTTCTCATGCATTCACCATTGTATAACAGTTACAGTTACCATTACATGGAAGGAGAAACAATGAGAGTTATGTACGAGCCTTTATTCGTCGAGTACAAAGTTGATGTTATATTTTCTGGTCATGTCCATGCGTATGAACGATCTGTAAGTCTTTTCCCATTTCTCTACTATTGTTTTTCTGTGCAGTATATTCCTCTGAACAAGGAGACCAATGCTTTTCTTTGTCAGCAATATCATTTAGTCTTATATTCGCTTGTGGAACTTGATTAGCTCGTGCTCCTGCTGGTGTAAATTTGAAGGTTATGCACTGAAAAGGCTTTCCCAATTTGTATATGAGAACAATGATGATGATTCATAAGTCGCGATAATTGGTAAATAGCATTTCCTGATCTAGTTGTAAATATGTCTCTTGTTGCTTTTGCTTTTGAAAAGCGGCAAGGTTGAAGCAGTAACAGATGCTATTTTAGAAATCTTTGAAAGATAGGTGTAACTTTGGCTGGGTCAGAGAATGGTTGTAGTATGCCAAAGGACTTTGATATTTCCCAGGTCTGGCTTTTCACCCCCTCTGGGACATGTGCTGTTCTTTCACTCTGCTCGAGTCAGGGATCGGATATTCTCATTTAGTGAGGGTAGACCGAAGAGCAGCATGAGAAATCTTCGAATATGTTTGTCTAATGGGATTTTGTTATCTAGACTTTGATGTTATTTTTCTTGCACACTGAAATGAATCTAGACTCAATCAATGGGCAAGTTTCATGCATTGTAAGATAACCAAATCATGCAACATTTTTCTCCTTGCAGTATAGGATATCAAACATCGCTTACAACATTATTGATGGGAACTGCAGGCCCGTGCCTGACCAGTCAGCCCCAGTATACATCACCATTGGAGATGGAGGAAACCAGGAGGGACTGGCCGCAAGGTATGCTCACAGCTGACAGAGAGCTCTCTTCCTGTGTCATTTCCTCTCCTCTTGCCTTCTCTGTCTGACGTGCAGTGGTCTGGCCCCTTCTGGCAGCATGACAGAGCCACAGCCAAGATATTCTGCCTTTAGAGAGGCAAGCTTTGGCCATGCCATCTTTGACATAAAAAACAGGAGCCATGCTTACTACAGCTGGTATCGGAACCAAGATGGCAATGCCATGGAGGCAGACTCCCTGTGGTTCTTCAATCGAGTATGGAATCTCAGGGAGGAGACCTACTATCCTTAGTAATGAAGTAAAACATAAGTGAGTTCTCTTTCTCATTTGCATAAGAAGAAATAAATATACTCATCCACTAGTGGAGGTATCTCTTTAATAATTAACTACTTCATGTAAATGACGTCTCCTGTCTCATATCAGTTATATTCCAAGTCAGCTCCCAGTTAATCTGTGGACACTTTCTGGTCCAAAGTTTGCTATCTTTCTTTGAACTTGCTAAGATGTATGCAATAAGGTGATGCCCCATATGTCTCTCACCAACGTGTTAAGGACTGATGGTTGGTACCAGCTTCAGGGTTGGGCTGCCCATTGCTGCCTCTTATGCTTGGTCTTTAAGTATTTCAAGGCTAAGTTGGAAAACGATGATTTCTCCTGATGCTTTGCCTTCAACCAAACCCCATCTGCGCATGTTTATGAGCAAGAACTCCACAGAGCTAACCTCATCAAGAACAAGAAAATCTGATTTATCTCTAGTGGCAATGCCCATTTCAACTTACTCAACAATGTTTAAGTAAATAGTCTTCATTATGATGATCTTACTACAATCTATTAAATCACCACAGCATATGTAGTTGACTTGTATTTCTTAGATTATTGGTTGTCTCATATTTGGTTTAAAGTGGAATTTTAGATACAAAAAGGTTAATGATAATGGCAACCCAACATAAAATAATCTAAATTGCCTCAAATAGAGTAGAAATATTGTGATATTTTTTATTCAAAAATTTGCCTCAAATAAATCACAAGTATAATATACACACACTAATGATTATTTCAATGAAAAATGTTATTAATTTGGTGATTCATGATATTTAAAAATATTTTTTAATTGATGCTAAAAAATTAAGAAACTTTTAATAGTCTAAACTTAATTGATTAATTGAACACCAAGAATAATCAAAATGGATCATTTTGCATCATAGAAATTTTGTATTCTTGATAAATATTATTTCTTATACTTCAACAATCCATAGTAATTTTCATGCAGTAATCATTACACTCCCTCATTGGCGACTTTTGTAAATATTAGGAAATTCCATTGTAATAAAAAAATAAGAATTTCGAGTATATTGATTCAAATTTTGAAATTCCAAAGCACGAGACTCAAAGACTGTTTTGAATTGTCATTTAGATATTTAACATCATTACTTTATGGTTTAATAAATTTGAACTTAACTACTTTCATGTTCATATCCAAAATAATAGTAATCCATATTTTATGTGTATTAATATAAATTTGATCTATTTATTTTTTTGTATGTATATGTTATCATCAAACATTCTTTAATTAATGCTCTAACAGTAGAGAATTATCACATGAGAGAAGATAATCTTGCATTCTTGTAAATATTAGTTCAAGAAGTTCAATCGAAAAGAATAGTGTAAATTGAGGGAGGAGCCTTTCATAAGATGACATAGGTCAAGGAAAATCTTACCACAGTAAAAGAGTGTAATCCTTGGTGATTTTTGAATAGTGTGTTGGGCTTGTGAATATAGATATTCAGCTAACTATTAATGTCACAATAACACATTTATGATCATATTTTTCTCATTTATTATTATTTTGCAGCATTTTTTTTTTAAAACTAAAACAATTGAAGTACCTTGTTCTATGGATTCACTTGCAATTTCGGCTTTGTTGACATACTTCGACATGTGATATCGTCCATGAGGGGCTGAAGTAGTTGAAAGAACTTATTAGGGTTTAAGAAATCCTGATGGCCTCAAGCAGGCAAGAGGCACTAGAGCATAAATATTTTACTCTTTTTCTTGCCTCTGCTTTCCCTCTCTTTCATTTTAGATCTCCCTCCTCATTGGTGAGCTTAACAGGATTCCTCCTATTCATGGTGCTCACCATCTACCAATGGGTCTAACCTCACATATATCGTCATACCACTCCTGCTTGACTCCTGGTCATAAACAACTACCTGCTCATCTCTACGTAATTTCTGTCAAGAACACCTCGGAATGTTAGGATACTGAGATTATTTTATTTATTCTTGAACGCCAGAAGATCATGACGCGCTCTGTATGGCCTCGGGAGGGTCGCATAACGCCAGGCATGCACGGCGTTCATAGCCGATGTGGCTCATGTCGCACCAGTCGATGGCCACCCGCAGGTAGTTGAGCCATCCCCCGGTGGGATCCACTTCGGAGCAGAATTCGTAGGCGTGGTGGAAGCAGGTCTTGCCGATGACGCAGTCGGGGAAGCACCAGAACCATTTGGACCACTTGACCTGCTCCGGGGAGAACCGCCATGCAAGCAGCCGACCAGACCTTCGACCTCATCCTGACACTTGTCTCTTTCTCTCCCTTTCCCTCTCTGTTCGGCCGGGCTTCCCCCTGTCGGATGTGGGAGTAGAGGCCGACGGCATGAATATGAAGGCGCCCGTTCCCCAGGGAGTTTCGTCGGATACACGAGCAGTGAATGAAGCATCGTAGCATTCTGCACGGTAACATCTATGCGAAGACTTATCACTTGAAGCATAGCTTGCTTACCTGATCGTTTGATCCCGTCGCCCGGGCTTGGGTTGGTCGGAGGACCCCGCCGGTCCCCGTCTGGAGCTGCTTCTCCCCCTCTTCTCTTCCTCTTGTCCACCCTTGTTCTCTCGTCGGCGCCCGTCTATCACCATCGCCATCCCCGCTTCCGCCGCGCTACCTTCGCCCTTCCTTTCCATCGCCGCCAGCCCTCGAACCGCCACCCGCTGCCACCATCGTCCGCCACCGTTTCCGCCTTCATCTGGCCGCCTCCACCGTCGTCGCCGTTCTGCCTTCCGACCGCCTGCCACTTCGCTAACCCTCCTCTCGTCTCTCGCCACCGCCGCCTGATTCTCCCATTATTTCTCTCTCTCTCTCTCTCTCTCCAACTGGGGTTTTAATCGAGTCGGATCGTGGCTTCCGGGCCCAGACGGCGCACCTCCTTCGAACCGCATCAGTCCGCCTCATTGGATCGAACCTATTGTCCAAAAGTGTTGCGCCACTTGCCGGAGAGATCTGTCGAAAAGAGGGGTCAACCATATTGTCACCGCGTCTGGGGGGAGAAGGAAAGAGCTGACTACTCACCGGAGGCCTTGAGTACAGTCGAGGGAGAAAGGAACGAGCTCGCCGATCACCGAAGGTGGATCATGTGAAAGGAGGGAGAAAATGGATTTGTGTATTCGCGACTGCCGTTGAGATTTTAAAGATAATCGATAATATCTGTTTTACTAGATAATAAGTGATTATAGTCTTTATATCTCTAACGATGATACATGTAATAACTTAAGTTCTTGGTATTATGGCACTTCATGAGCCATTGGATTGGATGTGCTTGGTCACATGGCATGCTGAGCAACACGGGATTAACCTACTATGAACCACTACCAATCGAGAACTTAAGTCTCTAGTACTGTGGCACCTCCTTAGCCGTCAAATCATCATTCAAAGTCACATGCGTGTTGAGTGGCGTCGGATTCGCAAACCACTAATGGATTCCTTTATGCATCTAGTATTGTGGCAGCTTGCCCACCGCAAGATTTGACTTATCTAATGACGGGGCTCACTGAACACCACTAGTTGACACTGCGCTCCAGTTAGCTACCTTGAAACACAAGAAACTTTAGTTTCACATCAAAAATATTTTGGCAAATGAGTTGGATATAAATCAAAGTTATGATTTCTAAGTAGAGATTCCTTCTCCCAAAATAAAATAATGTCCAAGACCATCTTGAAAGAAGATAAAAAGGTGGTTTGCCCTCATGCACACACATGTGTACGACACTCCTTGCTCCACGACTAGTTGGCCACCAAGACATGGCAAGGGAGTGACGCACATGTGCACAAAGCAAGTCCCTTGCCACTTGATCCCAACTTGTGGCTCCCCTAGTTTGGGTCTACCCACTCGACCGTAGCACCCCTCCGAGTCAACTATCGAGTGCGAGTGCCAGCTTGCCAATAGGCGGCGATATTTTTATATTTTATTTCTTTACTTTTTAAAAATAATAAAAAATTATGTAAAGTATTTTAACTTCAGACTTCTAAAATTAATAATATATTCCTATGTTTATTTTGAAAATTAATAAAATAAAATAAAATAAAATAACTAATTAAAACAGAAAAATCTAGTTTTAACAAATACCCCCAATTTTGAATTTTTCTAGTCCCTAACAATAAGTAAAAGACTTACAAAGTTAATGATATTTATTAATTCTTTTACATGAATCATTGATTTTCTCATTTTTCCATTAGAGACGATATTCAAATAAATATTTAGATATTCATGTCATTCAAAATAGTTAACTACAAGATCCAAAAAAATAAAAAAATAGTTTCATATCTAAATAAACTATTTCAAAAAATATTCATCTTGATTTTCATTCTCTTCAATGCATGAAATTCAACATCTTTCATTTTTAGAAATCACAAATTAAATGATTACACCTTTACCCAAGTTCTCAAACTATCTTCAGCTTTCTCTTCTAGATTTGTGCACCCAAGTAACGTATTTTCTTTGTCTTTTATTATTATTATTATTATAAACATCATAGGTAAGTAGCTTTCCTCATATAGGTTCTTTTTCATGTCTAAATCTCACATGTGGAAAGCCTCCACGAGATAAATGAGAAATCTCCATAGAGGCATTTGCACTCACTTTTCTTAGTCTTGTCCTAGTCTCGCATATAGAAAAGTTTCTATAAGACAAGTGGGAAATCTCCATATATATTTTTTTCATGAGTTGGGTCTTACACTCCACCATAAGACTTTTTATTATTATTTATATATATATATATATGTAAAACAAATGGTCAACTACTTGATATTCCTCATGCTAAGAATTTCAAGCTTCCAATAGTGTTTATATAATTTCAACCTCTTCACATCTAATGTCATGATTCCTTCTGATTCAAAATGAGAATTTATAACATATGGATCATGATCATTAAGATATATTCTGAAAATATTTCATCTTTCAATGTACTACATTTTTATTTTATTTTATCTCTTGCAATCACTAAATCTAACACACTTTAATCTTCATACTTAAATGAATTTACCATCCTATAGGAAAAATATAGAAATCCATGATTCATCAAGACTAGTTTTAAAACTTCCTTCTATACTAATTATTCAAGAAATAATTCTAATTGAATTTTCTTTGCTCCCCCCAATTAAAATCAGAATTGTCCTCAATGACATGAAATATATTATCAAATTAAATTGTGAAACAAAAGATATATACTCATAAATCAGCAAGTACAACATGATAAAAATAAATGTATGAGGTAATACTGAAATGAAATATAGAGCAACGAAATTCTAAATTTATTAAGAATAAAATATACATTAAAGTCTGTAAAAATAAAATTATTGGGTTGTCTCCCAATCAATGCTAAGTTTAATGTCTTCAGTCGAACACAATTCTATGATGATTTCATGAATGTTATGTCATTATCTAATGCCTCTTTCCTATAATATTTTTGATCTAATACATGGGCATGGAATGAAAGAATTAATTAATCAACTTGTTGAACATAAATCAATTCTTCTATGTAAGAATCAATTACCTTAATATGATCTTTTGAAAATATTTAAAGAAATATTTTGACCTTCATATTTCATATTTATCATTTTATTGTTGCAATCAATATTTGTTTTAGTTGTGGCAAGAAATGGGTATCCTAATATGATTGGTGCATGAGTAATTCATCTAAAATAGGAATATCTAAAATCAAAAAATCCACCATAAATTTACATCCTTTAACATTGATGATGACATCTTCTAGGAGACCCCTTGGTGTTTTAATGGATCTATCAGCTAGTTGTTCCACTAAAGTTGGTTTCAATTCTCCTAATTTTAAAATTTCAAAAACAGCCAAAGGTAATAAATTAACACTTGCTCCCAAATCTAAAAGCACATTTCTAAATAGAATTTTACCCACTTTACATGAGATGAGAGGTGCTCCTAGATCTTTACATTTCCTAAGCAAAGAATGGGAAATAACGGCACTAGCCTCTTTAGATAGAGATATCTTCCGAGGTGACCTACAAGGTGTGCATAATTCTTTTAAATTTTTTGCATATGTAGGTATATGTTAGATTACCTCTATCAAATAAATAAAGATATGAACTTGTTTAAATATTTTTATAAGCTCTTCATTAATGTCAACTTCTTTTCTTATGTTTTGGTTCTAATGCCTTAGGAAATGGGACTATTTTTCTAAATTTATCTAGCTGTGACAAAATAAGTATGGGTGGTTTGTCTACTTCTGATTTTTCTTCTTTTGATTCTTGTTTTTCTTCCTCTAAATTCTCATCATCAGAAAATAAACTATCATGATCATTATCATCATCATTCATCACTTCATCATCATGAATTTATTTTTCTAAAAAATCTGGTGCACATAGATCTTTGAGTTACTTTTCACTCCTCAAAGTGGTCACTACATTTTCAAAACCTTGAGATGTAGATGATTCATAACTATTAAAAGGCTGATTTCGTGGGTTCATAATGAGTTGACTAAGAAAATGACTTGTTTCACGTTTTGAATGAGCCAAGGCTAGTTTATCTATTTCTTTTTCTAGCCTAAGGGTTTTTTGCTGATTTTCTTACCTAATTTACTCCATCATCTTTATCATAGATGTATTTATTTCCTAAAATTGTTGCATCATTTGCCTCATAAACTATTGCATTAAATTTGAATTCATATCAGATTGATTTTGATATGAATTAGGATATTGTGGGCTGAAATTGGGGACTGAACTTGAAGAAGAAGATGTAAAATTGTGGGCTGGTGGCTGATGAGTACCTTGTTGAAAATTATGAGTATTTTGATGAAAAGAGAATTTAGTATTATATTGTGGTTGATGAGAAGGCCTAAATTCATGATTAGTTCTAGGAAATGATTGAGAATTCATGGTATGATTATGAGAATTTGAAAAATTATTCTGATTTTTCTAAGAAGGATTTAACTGATTCTGATGATCATAAAGTGTATGTGCATGCTCTTGATCTAAATTTGGATATTGAGATTCATAATGATCAGTCCTACCACATGATGAACATCTATAATAAAAATAATGTGCAAGTTGTGTAGGATCCTTTTTATGGAACAAATGATTATATAAAATATCTAGCTTTTGATGAACCTCACTAACGTCATTTGTAATGTTTAATGCATCATGATTTTGAAACTCAAACATTCTTATTTCATTTTTATTATTGTTGTGTGTTGATGAGAGAAAGAGAAAACTTTAGAATTTATGTATTGAAGAAGAGGAGTATATGAGGTTATATAGAAGAGAAGAAGAAAGAGAGAGAGAGATAGTGGAATAAGTGGAGAACATAGAGGAAGAATAAGGACGTAGAGAGAATAAGTCCAAAATAGGCCTAGTGGGCCTAGTGGGCTATTCTAACACTTCAATCATATAAAACAAAAGATTCATGTTCAGCAGAATTTTCACTTAAATTTTCATATAATCTTTAAATTTCATCCTCATCCTTACTCATAAATGTGCCTCCACATACAACATCTATAGTATTTTTCTGTTGTTCTAATACACTATCATAGAATACATGATTTAATTGTCATTTGGCAATTCCATGATGTGGACATCTCCTTTGAAGCTCCTTGAATCTTTCTTAAGATTCATGGAAGTCTTTTCTTGATTTTTGAGTAAATTAGAGAATAGCTTTCCATAT